GCTTTGTAAACGTGGATATGGTAAGACAATGTAGAATTATTTCCAATTTTATTCTTCCCAGCACGGCAGTTTGGGTTACTATGAGGAGCATATTTACTTTTTGAGCTTTTTTTGTTTTCTTCTTTCCCCATCGTGGACTAACTGGTTCAATAACCAGAGAGTTTCTTCCTCCCCATCTGGGCAATTATTAAGCATTTCAGACCCAACACCACAGGCTGAATTGCACTGCTAGGCAGATATTTTCACTAGTCTCTTTGGAAGAAGTACAATTCTGTCAACATTAGCAAAAATGCACTCAACACTCCTGCAAAGGTTATCATAATGCAAAACAGATATCAAAATGACTTTTTCCTGTCCCTGATATATCTGCATCGCAGATGGCTTAGCATGATTTATGACGAGTCCTTAGAAGGGCCTTGTGGATTCCCTTCGTTACTAAATCCGTAATTATTTATTCTTTCCTAAAGCCCTTAAAAAGAAAATGGTAAGCATTTTAACCCCCTATTCTGTATTTAAAAATTATGTTGGCTCTTATGGAATGTCAGTCTATGAATACAGTTTTCTACGGAATTTTTCTGGTGGCTTAAACTTCTTGTAACTATTCTGAGCACAAAGTAAATTATTATGGAAAATTTGAGCTAAGCTTTCCAGTCGTGCCTAAGTTCTTGGAAATAATATGCAGAAGAACTCTTTTGTTGTGCTTTTTCTTAAGTAGAGACAAAAAAAAACTACTATTATATGTGTGCAATGGTATGGAATTTTAAAAGATAAATGTCTTAGAAAAAGTTACAAATGGGCTTTTCTGTATTTTTTTTCTGCACTTAACACAGCTCAAATCATTCATTACACAGACAAAGTGAGAAGTTTAAATTTCATACTTTTCACCCAGGGTGTTTATTATGTTGTGTAATGGTTCTTCAATACTTTCAGAGGATAAATGAAAATTGAAACAGCAAGTCTTAAATAAGGGGTTAATATGTGAAAAAATATTTTGGCACAGTTTGAAGTCTGGAGTTTGGAACCTAGGAACTTTTATATCCTCCATATTGAAGCAGGAGTTTTTTTCCAGAAGCTTTACTAAATGTAAATACTCATTTCTATTGCATGGAAGATATTTTGCAAGTACATCCTCTTTCCTCTAGAGGCTTCTGTGTAGAGAGCAGCACTTCAGTAACTTTACTTAGGCTATTTCTAAATGTTTCTATTTGTTGATATATGCATTGTCTCCTATTTCCTTAAGCATAATTCATAAAAATCACTTAGGTCTAGAACCTGTGGGGGATTAGCCAACATTTAGAGACATTTAATGTATTACATAGTTTATACCAGCAGTGTTGGGCAAAGTGGATAGAGCAAAGAGGAAGAATGGGAGGAAAGAGAAAAAAAATGTGTTGAATAAAGAAAGCTAAAATGACGACTAATTGAAGCAATAGTTATAACCCTGGGTCTATAATTCTCTGAAGTGACCTAGAGTAGCGCATTCTCAATTGCCTATTTTCAATGGGATTATAAAAGCAAAAATTAAGACCTCAGAAAATGGGGCCCTTTCTGGAAGCCCTAGACTCTCTTCTGGAGGACATTTTAACATCCACCAATGAAGAAATTGGCTTGTGTGTTGCAGATGTTTGCTGTGACATAGCATAAACATTGATACTTTATCGGGTTCTGTGATTAGCTAAGTAGTCACAGGTTTATTGAGGCTCAGAACTCCCAGATTTGAATTCTTTTGCTTAGCTGCGTGTGTGTGTGTGTGTGTGTGTGTGTGTGTGTGTGTGTGTGTGTGTGTGTGTGTGGGATAATAGCAAATTCAGCCATGCAAGTTCTTCCTCTGGCACTATTTTAGTCAATGGCAAGCCCTTGTACATGATCTTATGATACCCCTTATAAGAGGTCTGATGTTACTCAGAATTGGTGGAAAGTTATCATATTAAAACCCTAAACCCTATTTTTCTAAGAAAAGTTTTTATGTAGTACACACAGAGAGGAAGTAACGCATCTAGTGAACTTGACTCACGCTTTAGTAAATCCAGAAGAACCCTTATAATTTTGTTTTTTAAAACCAAGAGAAAAAATTTATCCCATTGCTGTTTTCTCTCATGTCCTTTCTTCCTATGTTTCCCCCCTTTATTTTTAAGTGCAAAATGAAAAAACTTCCTCCTGGAATTGGAACCCTAGAACCTTGGCATACATGCCTGTAGAAGGGTTTTCACTTGGAACCAGACCCTTCACTCTTTTACTTTACCCTAGTAGGAAGTAACAATGAATTTTAGAATTTGTAAGGGGAAATGGAGAAGCAAGCATGAGACATGATCTACTAAAGAGGGTCTATTCTTTGAGCCTCCAAATGGTATGGGAATCCAATCTAATCAGGCTGGCCATGTAGTCTATTTGAAGCCTTGATTTCTAAACTACAGAAATTGGGGCAATACTTGTCATGCATCTACTTCATAAAAATGTGGTGAGAAATAATGAGCTAATACTTTTAAACACTGAGTCTGGTAAAAGAAAAAAGTGAATCCATTCTTGTTCTGGATCATTGGTTCTCCCCTAGGGCAAATTTGCACTATGGGGAACATTTGGTAATGTTTGACATTTTTGGTTGTCACAATTTTGGGGAGAGGACGCTACAGGCATGTGGTAGATTGAGGCCAGGGATGTGGCTAACCATCCTACAATGCATAAGGTATTCCTCCACAACAAAGAATTATCCTGCCCAAAATGTCAATAGTGCCAATGTTGAGAAGTCTTTCTCTAGGTTTAGGTTTTATCATTATTATTGTATCTTTTGGGTTATGAAGTTAATTGGGCTTTTTGTTTGGTTTGGTTTTTGCTTTTTTTTGTTTATCCTGAACAAATTTAAGTTTTCTGAAGATTCTTTGGAGTAGAAATGCAATCTTTGGGAAATTGTCTGATGAAAATAGATGTTAACACATTTCCACATCATGACGTTTGACAGGCAAATACGTTAGCATCACAGGCGATCCGTTTCTTCTCTGTCTAGTTGAGTGCAGATTTAGCTGTGTACATGCCACAAATGTCTGGGTGGCAGTTTATTAGTCACTTGCTTTCTCTCCCAAGCCAAAATCAGAACCTTTTAACTGACAAGCATATCTTAAAATGTGCTTCTAGTAATTGCTGATTGCTTCACAATAACCTGCAGGTAAGGTTCCTGAATGACCTTCTCAGCAAGCCAGGTAATTCTGTTTGAGCTCTTTGAGAATTCCACAGCACCTCCAAGAGAGTCCATTTACTATTAGTCTATGAATTATGTACTTCTCAAGAGGTTATTCATTCCATAACAAGTTCTTTCCAATGTCCAGTGCTGAATGAGGAATATGTCCTAGCCTCGTTGCTTAGATTTTTGTATGGATTTCTGTCTGCTTCATTGTGATATGAGTGGCACTTTTCTCTTCTCCCAGCACAATCACTGCTTTTGGATACAGAAGCCATGGTACTTGTACATGAGTGTACAGCGACAATAAAGTACTGAAACAGCACAGCTCAGAGCACAAGGGACTATTTCTGCAATTACTGCTCTGATACAAATGTTTTGGATACAGAAGCCATGGTACTTGTACATGAGTGTACAGCGACAATAAAGTGCTGAAACAGCACAGCTCAGAGCACAAGGGACTATTTCTGCAATTACTGCTCTGATACAAATGCATTTGTACATGAAGTACATTTATATGCGCATATTTATCTCTGTGTACATTAGGCAGCAAGACATATTTACAATTTATCTATGCACATATATTTTTTAAATCATCTGTGTCAATTGCAGTGTATATCTTGTAAATAGCACATTCCATGCCTTCCTGGTTCCATGGATGCCATGTTACTTGGCATCAATGTAGCCCTTTGGGGATTTCTCCCATTTCTTAGTTTGTGTGCTAATTTCCAACAAACCATCAGCCAAGCATATAGCGTGTGTGTTTGTTACATGGTGTTTGATTGAGAGAGAAATAAAATACCTGGGCTTCAAACTGAACACTCTTGAGAGGAAAAAAAAATAACTCTGATGACATATAAACAGTTATAATTTGGGTTCTTGGAACTGACGATTCTTGGTTCTGATGACATCTAAATATGAGCGTGTATTGTAACGCATATTACAAAATGGCTTTTGTTATTTATTTTATATCTCTGTGATTACAAATAAGATTTAAGAGGGATATAATTAGTATATAGAGGACTGGGTATTATGTATCTTAATGTGAGAATGTGATCTTTCTACACACTGCTTCATCCACATGGTGAAGAGGATAGTTTCAAAGACATGAACCACATTAATGGAAGAAAGTTATGGGCCAAAGTCTTTGTTCTACTGACTGGGTGTAAGCCACACCTGGTCAGATTTTAGGCCTGTTTTGCTAAGACACAACGTTTCTAACTCCTTTCAGATAAGCTAAACAGAGAAGTGTGTGCCAGATGAGACAGGACATGTTACAGAGTTAAGGAGGCATTACAGTGCTTTGGTTGATGCTGAGTCATTCCCCACACCCCAGAGAAAGCATTTCCTTTCTCCAGGGAAAGAAGAAATGAGAAGGGCATAGGTGGAGGATAAGTTTATATAGTTAGCTGGATCCTTTCATGTGGAGGAACGTCCCACAAAACAAAGAAAAATAGAGTTATTTCTTAACTTGGGTTGTCCTCAAGTTTACAAATCGTCTGGTTCCTCTGAACGGCTCTTGCATAGGTGGAGGATAAGTTTATATAGTTAGCTGGATCCTTTCATGTGGAGGAACGTCCCACAAAACAAAGAAAAATAGAGATATTTCTTAACTTGGGTTGTCCTCAAGTTTACAAATCGTCTGGTTCCTCTGAACGGCTCTTGCCTTTGAAGTGTGAAGATACTATGAATAGTTAAGCATAGAGCATAGTAGCAGGTTTAGCATTCGTCACTTAATTGGTCCTTCTATGGACCTGCAGCTCTTCATATGGGGCAGGAAAGCTCTCTAGGACAGCTCAAATCCCTGTCTTGGGGCAAAAAGAAAGAAAGCATCAGAGCTGAGGCATGAATCATTGTTGGGCGATTCCACACTGATGATGGCTGTCTCAGAATACGAGGGCAAGAGTGAAGTTTGAGCAACATAGGGTTGGAAATAATAGAGTGCGGCTGACCTGGGTCCCTACGGTCTCTCCTTTTCCAGGCTAACGTTGTGTTTTAACCAAACCTTGCACGTTGAGCTTTCTTTCCTAATGCGCTGAGCTGCACGATGACTTCAGAATATTATTAAGCTTTTGCAAGCTCCTGTGTTAAAGTCGAGGGTGGGCTAGGTTTACCACAGTGGGACCAGTGGAACCTGGGTGATACCAGGATGGACCTGAAGGCTAACTCTCTGGATGAAGCCTCCATTTCTGGGATGTGAAAGCAGATGGTTAACTGCCCTTCTTGAGGGCCACTATTATTATTATTATTAGCATTTCATATTTCATGCATGCTTGAGAATTCCTGACACACCTATTACTCTATTTAATTATCCTCCATACCAGCAGGTAGCACCAAAGGGTAGATCATTCTTGCATATTCTTATAGTCCTCAAGTTTCCCTGGGCTGTTTGCCACCCAGAAAGGAATTTCACCTTCTTTCCAGAAATCAAGAATGTCAGTAGACCCGTATCTCAGGGCTAGGCCAGCCCTAGTGTGTGACATCGCCTTCACGCACTCCCTGCCTGGTGCTGCTCCCCATGGGAGAGTAGACTGGTTTAGCAATAGCATATTTAGAATCAGTTGAATAGCTCATGTGCTCCCTCATGGTGGCAGACGTGTCATTAACCAGCCCATACTCTCCATCTTGTGGTCCCCTGGCTAACCCTAGACATTCTAGAGGTGTGAAAGAGAAATCCAAGGTCTGGAGACTGTCTTCAGTACAAATAGTCTTAATTGAGGAGAATAAATATTCCCTTTCTTGGCTTGAAGTTGCTGAGGGGAAGCAGTCCTATTGGCAACTGGTAGGAAGATGTGGCTTCACATAACAGGAACAATATGCACCCTTGATTGCTTGCTCTGCTCTTCATGCTACTAACCAGAGTCTGTTGATGTTGTTTTTATTTTCGTTTTGATTTGGGGGAGTTGCTTTGCATGTTTTTCTTCCTCTTGGCTGTTAGATGCGGGGATTGAGCCTTTTCCTTTCTGTGATTCAGGTGCCTCACTCTTTCCTTTCCAGGTTCTTCCAGTTCTTTTAACATGTCAAACTCTGGAGATTTGTTCATGAGCGTGCAGTCACTCAATGGGGATTCTTACCAAGGGGCCCAGGTTGGAGCCAACGTGCAATCACAGGTAGGGACCCAGCCAATATGCCACCAGGTGATTTCATTAGAATCCAAGCGCCCTCGGTCGTATTGGCACTTCCTGCTTCTGGCCAGAGAGAAAGAAAAAGAGAGGGAGAGAGATCAGAACCAAAACCTTACCAACAACCAAACAAACCAATCCAAACCAAAGACAACCATTGTCATGGGGAATCTTGTCCACACTTTGTGAGTGCATCTGGCTCTGGCTTGTTCACACTAGCAAGGTTGTAGAGGAGCAGTAAGGACAGGGCGAAGTGACAAAACATATCAGGCAAGTGGATCCAGCACATTCTTTATTCATTAAAAGGAAAGGGAGGAGTTCAGTTCATTGTCTCAATTTCCAAGTCTCCCTCTCATTCGTCGGTTTCCCATGCTCAGTATGTGCCCAATAAGGAGGTAATTAATGAGCAGGCAAATATGTTAGTATCTCATATTTTCACTTTTACGCTTTAAAAACAGCCAGGATGACTAAATTCATCTTTTTAGTCATCCTTGAGGTCAAGAGACTTGAGTTTCTGATGATGAGTGTAAATCCGTGCTGGGAAGCAAAAATCAAGTTGTGGTATAAAACCTCGGTGCTCCTTAGTAAATAGGTTGCCTTCACGACACCTCAGGAAGCCAGCATACTATCTCAGCATGAAGCGTGATGTGAGAGGCTAAGGCAGTGTGCCCTGGGTCAGAATTATTAGGGAAGCTCTGAGCCATTTCAAGCCAGTCTCCCACCTTACATGTGGAATAGGAAGCATTATATGCCTGGAATAGAAAACTGGTCAGTGATTCAGCTCCTTGCTCCAGAAACATTGCCTGGAAACAATTTTGAAGAGATATGGTCAGACTTTGGTCAAGTGACTAGACAACTTGCCATCATTTAAGTCCTCGAAAAAACACCGGGGTCTTAGTCACATACTGCTGTCCCTATGAGATGGCTGACCGAGCCGTCTCTAAACAGAACTTTGATTTTATGGGTACCCAGCAAAGGAGAAGCTGTATAGGATGATCTATAGGGAAGAAAATGGAGCGAAGGGAAAATTTCTTCATCCTCTCTCCTCTAACCCACTCCCCACCATCTCATGCAGCACTGTTGAATTAGTTTCAGTGTTGGGAATCCTAGTTTTCTCTTATCATTTCACTTATTGAATTCAGAACTGATCATGGATTTGGCATATAGAGGAGGCCTAGCCTCATGCTAATGAACTCTTTCCCAGGAAGGATGTCTCCAAAATGATTGCATTAAGTTGGCATGCCCAAATGGTAGTCCGTATGATGATGATCTGCCTCCCTTTCCCTGCATCTCCCTAACTAATTTCCTCTCTGTTGTTGTTCATCTGTTTAGGTGGATACCCTTCGCCATGTTATCAGCCAGACAGGAGGATACAGTGACGGACTCGCAGCCAGTCAGATGTACAGTCCGCAGGGCATCAGTGTAAGAAAACAAGGCTCCCCCCACCCTTTGTTTTTATTCTATCACTACCAATTATTTCTAAGCCATAGGGCCCAGAATGCCACTTAGTAGGACTTGTCTTAGCTTTACGGTCACCTAGTTTCTTGTTTCTGTATCGGTCATGCCATCGGCAGCATTCTACCCACAGAAAAAGTGGCGATGGGGCAGGCTTCATGCAGGCAGCTGGCGTCTAGGGCTGTCAGACGCAATCAGTGTTTGCATGGCACCTGCGGCCACATGCGTTCAGCTGAGAGGAGCTGCTAAACAGGTGACACCTAGTACAACAGTGGTAGGAAATGTCCCCACAAGCTGGGGCCGGGCAACCTGGGGAGGAAAACCGGTAGCCAAAATCCATTGCATCTAGGTCTGTGGCCTAAAACAAATCCTTTTCCCAATCTGTCTATGAACGATTTAAAAAAAAAAAAATTAACAGAGAGGCTGGGTATGTTTAAGGGATGGGGAGGGGTGCAGGCCATCTTCTACGTGTTCTTGGGTGCGCTGGCGGCTCCTGACTAGCATGAAAATTCATAGCGACAAGCTGTGTCGCACAGAGTGAAATCGATCAGACAGACACAAGGAGAACCGAGTGTAGATTTGGGACAGCAATCCAACTTGATTTCTCAGATCAATCGTCCGCTATCTCAGCAGCGGTGACAGCAAGCTGGGACAAGAGGGCAGCCTGGAAAAGGAGGCTGTTCTTTACATCTGGGGTGATTTCCTGGGCTCTTAGAGGTCACAAGAGGCTCCAGTAGAACTGTTGGCTTGAAACTGTTTAAGAATGCTGTGGTTGGTTGGTGGTGATCATTTTTTATGGCTTGTTTCTGTCGTTATGAATAAAGTCAATTGGGGATGGAAGTAAGGAAAGATAGGTGTGATTTATTAATATAATCTTAGTCTATGCTGATTGATGTATCATGTCTGTAATAAAAAAGGTGATGGCCCCTTCAACTCTACATTGGTCAGATCATATACGATTCTGGCCAGCCTGGAAGAAGTCAACAGAATACCTACTATTTCATCAGATGAGGAATGAGAGGAAGAATTAGGAATTCTTACCCCATGAAAAAGAAGATTTGGGTTAGAAATGCCACCGTCTTTGCGTGGGATTAGATTCACCATGAATGATCTAAAGTGCACAGGATAGGACCACTGAGGAGAAGATTCAGAGAGACAGATTTCACTTCAGCTTTTGATGGACCTTTCACCAAGTCAGAGTTCTTCAGAGAAGGGATTGACTGCCCTTAGGAATTCAGGAATTCCCTGTCATTGGGAAGGTCAAACATGGCTTGGCTAGCTATTTGGTCATGATGTTGTGGAAAGGAGTCAAGCACCAGATTGTGATTGTCTTGGTACTTCTAAGGCCACTTACGGTGGAAATTTTTTATTTTCTACCTTCTTGAGGCAGAATCCCCTCTGAGTTTATATAATATTTATCAAGTCTTCTCTAGGAGGGATGCATGGAGGTTAAAGTTAACTCTTTTAAACATACTCTGGGCTATCATATCACTTTCTAGGAAGGATTTCCAGAGCAGAAGGATTCTTTCCATCTGGTGCTTAATGCTAACAGTACTAATTATTATTACTGTATTAATGGCTGACTTGCCAGGAAGCCTGCTTAGAAAAATACAAGATACCATCACAGGCAAGTATATTCTCAATACGGATTCCAAATGAATAAAGTTGCTCTGTGTTTGTTGTATTTATGTATTTCCTGAATCTTTTTGAGATGTAAGATAGATTTTTCCAAAGAAAGCTTTGCTCTGTGCATAAGTGGAAGAGAGGAACATGAATGTGGAGATAAGAACGTGGGCATACTCAGAAAAGGGACTAAAGAAAGGCCATGTGACTGGGCAGGAACTGGGGCTGACATTCCTGCTGTTTGGCCTCTTTCTTTCTGGACTGGGTACCACAGAAGAGAGAAGCAGTCAGACTCTGGGGGGTCAACACTGACCCCTGTGACGTCATCTACTGGGCTGGGAATAATTTCTGAAATAGTGTAACCAAACATGTGCAGACAATTATGTCTGATTACATAAGCCCACCACAAAAACTGGGCTTGAAAATGCCACTTGAAAGAGCCTTTCATTTTGCATTTATTTTTTTTCTGTGAACTGTGGTTATTTTATTTCTGGGTCTTTAATATGTCCACCACAAAAACTGGGCTTGAAAATGCCACTTGAAAGAGCCTCTCATTTTGCATTTATTTTTTTTCTGTGAACTGTGGTTATTTTATTTCTGGGTCTTTAATATGCAGGATAAATGAATCAAAGGCTGATCATGATATCATATGTTCTTTTGATATCAGTTTTAAATTGTGCCATCTGCAGAAGGGTAAGTTTGTTAGAGTGAGATGTAGGTTTATGCAGTGTATTAGATGCTGCAACATGTGCATGTATCGAGTGGGACTATGGCTGCCAGGAGAAAAAAGAGAGAGAGAAAAGGAGGGAAGACAAGAAGAGACAAGGACAGGAATAAGATGTTTGAGCCAAGCCTGCAGAAGGGTAAGTTTGTTAGAGTGAGATGTAGGTTTATGCGGTGTATTAGATGCTGCAACATGTGCATGTATCGAGTGGGACTATGGCTGCCAGGAGAAAAAAGAGAGAGAAAAGGAGGGAAGACAAGAAGAGACAAGGACAGGAATAAGATGTTTGAGCCAAGAAGTAAAAATAAATAGTTCCTAAACCCAAAGCAGCCATGGAATCCCCAGCTGGGCTCTGGATCGTGTTTCATTTGGTGGAGGACATTTTCTGGGCAGCCTTTATTCACTCCCCTGGCTGGGTTTTCACAGCACCCACATCTTATCCAACCAGTGTCTATTTTAAGTCTTATAAAGTTCAGACCACTTGCCTTTAGTTGACCACATAGCAATAGGCTTGCAACGTGTACTGGTAAGAATACTAGGATGAGAGGTGGGAGACTCTGGTCCTTATAACTCGTGTGCCCATGGGCAAGCATTGAATCTCTTTCGTATAGAATGGGGCCAGTAATCCCACCCTTGATACCTCAAAGGCTGCTTTCAGGAAAATGAGAAAATAAGTAGGAAAAGGTTGGGCAAAGCATAAACTGTTCCACATGAGTGCAGTGTGAAGTGCTGTAAGTGGTAACTTTCTGATTTGACCTTTTTTCTCCTCCCGTGTGAGCAGTTTTCACAGTAGGCAGTTCCTAGTGAGGACCGGGTAGGACACAGTTGTCATTTTTTTTTCTCTTCTGGTGGAAAGGTATGCTTCTGAGGTGGATATAGAGTTATACAAGGCCTAAAGACCCCCTGCGTTAGCCACTGTGAGAGTTAAGTTACACCTCCTTAGGTACTTTCTGTTCTCCTGTGACAGCAGGCGGTGCTTACTAGGTTTAGAGTGGCTCTAAGTAATGGAGGGAGATCATTCCACTTCTCTGTCAGTCAAACATAAAGATTACTTAGCTACCTCATTCTTTTCTCTCCATTCCCACTGCCTTCATCCTAGTTCTGGAAATACTTTATTAACTAGACTATTGCAATAACGTTCCAGTCACTGTTACTGTCTTTAGTTCCTCCTCTGTGCTGCACACATTCCCTAAATTTTGTTATTCCTTGCTCAATTATCAGCAGTCCCTTTTGATCACCTGCCTAAGCAAGCTCAAATCCTGAGTCCAAAACTCAGGGTCTTCCACACTGTGCCCCTAACCTACCTGTCCTTCCATCTTATCCTCCCATCATCAAAGTAAACTCCAGTAAAGGTCAGCTCACCTTTAACTGGTTACACACTCCCCCTGCATTCGCTGATGTATGCATCTACACAAATGTCCTCTCAGTCCTACAGCACCTTACCCATCCCACCCCACGATCAAAATTAAATCACAATTTAAAACAATTAAACATAAATTATTTTTTCACTCTAAATAATGTTCTGCACGATCACAAATCTTTGATAATTCACGAGGAAACGTTTGTGTAATGAGAGCTCTTCTTCCTTCTCATTTAAGTCTTCATGATACAATTTGAGGGGGAAACAGTGAAGTGAGCCAGAAAATATGGAAGGTGCTAGTTCTAATGAAAGAGTATTTGGGGGGGGGGGTAGCTTGCTTATCCTGATGTATCAACAACACGGAGAGGTGAGTGTGGTCCTAAAATGCACATTATTAGTTGCTCAAAACATGTTTGTTGAATGAAAAAATTAGGTAGGAGAAGAAAAGATGCTCCTGAATTAAAAATGCATTTAATGACCAATACCCATGTCTAGTGTGTCAGCTGTAAATTATCTAGTGGTAATTATTATTTTAGATGCTTCACTTATCTACAAATATCCTGTCTTTTAGATTCAAAAATGTTGTCTTATGTTTTGAAAAAAGTTTTCTAAACTTTTTAGCCAATGCATATATCTGAAAATAAGATTCAGATCAGCATTAAATATATGAAGTTACATGGTGATGATATTGCTGAGAGAATTATCCCTTAATTCTTTTAACTCCTCCTATCCTAGAAGACTCCCCATATTCCTATCCTTAAAGAGTCCCTGTAAAAGAATACCTGCTTGTGAGATGATAGCCATCCCTGTAGTGATATAATGTTCGTTCCAGTGGGATTCTTATTGCCCTTTCCACTAGATGGGGGACTGGAGTCCCCGAGGACAACCTGGTGGAAGGTGGAAGCAACTTGAAATTAGGACACTTGGATCCTTCTTGTGTCTTTTCTTTTGAGGAGTCACTTCACCTCTCTGTGTCGTTGCTACATCAGGATAAGCAAGCTACCCCCCCCCCCAAAAAAATACTCGAGAAAACAAACAAAAACCACCTGAACAAAACAAGACAACACAAAATCATCATGAACCAAAATAAAAATCTATATTTGCAGTTTGTCTTAATTGGTAAACTTGTTGGAATCTGGCTGTTAAAGCTTATGTTCACTGAGTTTATCAAACAGATGGTTACATAGGAATGTTTCACTAGAACCATATTCTTGCCTATAGGATAACCAGAGACAGCAGCATTATCAAATGCACACATAT